ATATCTCTTTTAATATTAAAAAAGTTAAAAAATTTATAGAAAATTAGTTAATTATTCTCTATTTTTCTACTTTTTTATGTTAAGATTAAATTTTTTCTGTTCAATTTTTTCAATTTATAATAATAATAAAATAATAATTATTTATTGAATATGGGCAGTATTTTATATATTGTTACTTAGATTTGTGTGCAAGTGTAAGAAATTCAGAATTAACAGTTTAAGATGCTTGTGAAATCATGTCAATAGCAATAGATGATAACGAAGTTGTTATTCTTTAAGGAGATATTAGAGAAACATAAAATAAAAGCATTTGTATTGCATATTTATTAATGTTATAGTAAATGCTTGTGTTGATCCTTATAATAATCTTATTCTAAAGTAATGTAGAGTAAAAACTGAGCAATGTAATCAATACTTTTAACATATATAGTAAAATTAGGTGCCCCTTAATTAATTTAATTACCAAGAGGAATCGTTAAATCTGAGTATATGATCAATCTTAAGATCAATTTTGATGAATTCTCTAAATAAGATCTCATTGAAGCTTTTGAAGAAAGGTAATAAAAAAGAATATACTTTAAAGTTTTGAGTAATTGTATTTTTAAGAAATTGATTCCATCTCATATTATGATTAATGTGAATAATACAGTAAAGAAATTTAGATGATAAATTGTGAATGTTTCATTGAAGCCTTAATAAATGAACTTCATAATAATAGACGATCTAGAAAATATAATATATATCATCCAAATCTCAATGTTTGTTTGATGTACAAAAATGAATTTAAATCTCAATATTCATCATATTGCAGAGCTAAATACTCTATGATTGAATAATAAAATTTTATATATGGAGATGTTCTCTAAACAATCCATGAAGAATTTACAGAAAAAAACTCACAGTTAGCTTTATCAATAACGAAATATTTCTAAAATTATCCATAATCTATTGAAAAGAAAGAAAATATTGAAACTTTTGTTCCTAAAATGACTGCTTTATCTTAAAATTGATATTAATTAATAGTTATGAATTGTGATTAATTTGATATTTATTAATATTATTTTCAAGCATAAACATGAATTCTATCCAATCTTATATATCAATTTCTTTTATGTGTTTTGATATCATATAGATTATCTATTAATTTCTATGCTTCTTCATACATTGATTATTATTTTCTTGGAGTACATTCTCCAATTTTCCTTTTTGGAGATGGTTAATAAATACTTGGTAATTTCTTGGTTTATAATCTATCTGATTTAGTACCTTGTCCAAAAATATTATACATTTACTTATAATTTTCAAGTTCATTATTAAAATATTTTATTATTTCTGCTGCTTTTGTTAATTAATTCTATAAATTTTCACTTTGTGTAATCTAGTTTTCCAAATGTTTTTATAATTCTATTTTTTTCTTAACAACTTCTTTTGGCTTTTCTAATTATTTTAAAAGAGCTTCATTTTCTTATGAACTTCTCTAAATTTATTATTTCATTTATTTAACATTTTCTTTCATTCTTTCTTACATTTATTATGCTTTTTCTTATAAATCTGTGATATTTTTAGTTTGTATTTAATTTTATGTTTATAATTAAGCAATTTATTCTTTAAGAATAGTTACTTCATCTTTCTATAAAACTTAAAATTCATCTTAATCACTTTGCAATATTTAATTACTAAATTAATGTTAATTTTTAGAACTATTATCTAAAATTATATTAGATATTTAATTTTTTTTAGTTGGTGAAAAATAATAACTATTAGATCTTTCTTATGGATGAGTATGAATAGTTTTTTAATTTTCATTAATTAAAAAATATTCTAATAAAAAATCTTCAGTCTAACAAGAGATATCTTAAGTTTAAACTTCTTGATTAATTTCTTATTCTTTAATTTAATTATTAGAGAAGTTAATTTATAATTTACTTCTTCTTCTAAGATTTGAATGATGAGTAGTTAAAGCTTAAGTGAAATTAACACTAACAAATTTAGAATTTGGAGTTTCCTCACTTAATTTTGGAGAAGGCCCAGTCATTAATTCTTTTGAATTCATTCCATCATTTGTTTTAATTTAATAATAGTATTAATCTTCTCTATTTTTAGATCGTTGATTTCGTTTCTTTCTTAATTTTTTCATTAAATTTGTTTATTTTTTTGATTCCATTATTTCTTCTAATTCTAGATTTGGAATTTTTTCTTAAGTTTATTTATAATTTGATATAGGAGAAATTTAAGTTGTTTATTGATCAGCATTTTTCGGATTAAGTTTAAAAGAAGATGGAGAAAATTATCTTATATCTTAAGGCCATAAAGATGGTGATGTTTGTTATTATTGATGATCAATTTCTTATTAAAATTATGTTTAACTAGAAAAATGATTTGTTGGATTTGTCAAATAAAAATTTTCAGAAAATTATTATTAAATCTTTTATTCTAATAAGATTTATCCTTCAGTAAGAACAATATTATTATTTTTTTTTAAATTAGCAATCATAGCTTATGTTTAATGAAGATATAAAGATTATTAATGCATTTCTGCTCTTAATTATTATGTTTATTGTTATTACTATTATAACTATAATTATTGATTTTTTATTAAGATTATTTATTACTCATTTTTTTATATTTCTTATTCATATTTATTTCTAACTTATTCTAATTCTTTATTTGCTCTAATTGAAGCTTTATTTGCTTCTGAAATTCTAAATTCACTGTCTTTAATTAATTTATCCATACGTTTTTCATATGTGTTTCTTAATTCCCCTAAAGCAAATTCATATTAATCTTATTTAATTGCTACTTATGTATGATGTTCCTCTTATTATTATTATAACATCTATGTATATTTAAGTTTAATTTATGCTTATTTTTCAATTTCTTCATTAAGTTAATTTGTTAACTCTTCCAACTTTTCATTATATGAATCAAGAACTTCAAAATGTGAATTTTAATTTTTCTTAATTTTTTTATTTTCATCTTCAATTAATTGATTCAATTGTTATATAGTTTAATCCTTTGATTAAATTAATTCCTCTTGATGAGTTATAATTTATTATTGTTCTATTGCTTATCGAGAAACTTCTATTTTAATTCGCTCATAATTAGAATTTCGTTCCTCATTTAAAATTAGTAACTGGTCAGTTTATTGTGTCAATAATAGTGATTCTAGATTATGTATTAGTGTTTGAAATACATGTCCTTAATGTTTCTTACATGGTTTTCATATCTTCTTATAAAATAGTTATTAACGTTGGGATATCTGCAATTCTCTTCACAAGTTCTCTGCTTTCAGTATCTCTAATAATTTGAGATAGATTCTCTCTTTATTACTAATTTATTCAATATGTAATCAAATACTTCTAAATAATTTTATGTAGCAAGTATAGTATTTTTAAGTTAATCATTTTCAGTCCTTAATGGTTGTACTTGTTAGATTACATGAATGATATTCTCTTCTGCCTTTTGAGTAAACAACATGCTAGGTTAAGTTAAAAGACTTTTAACATCATTAGATGATTTATCTCTTTTTTTATTGATTCTGTCATTGTTCATTATTTATGTTTACAAAAATTTTATACAAATTTTCTTCAAGTCCTCTACTTACAATTTCATTGATAGGTAGATCATCAGTTGGTAAATCATCACTCTTTAATAAATTGTAAACAGGAGAGAATGTAGCTATAACATCAAACTAAAAGAATATTACTAGAGATAGAAAAGAAGTAAAATTAAACAAATATTAATTGAGGCTATATCTGAAATCTTTCCACTTCCTATCCGATTTGTTGATACTGCAGGAATAGAGAATGTAGCCTTAAAGAAGATTCTAAATCCATTATAATAGAAGATGTTAATGCAAACTATCAATGCTATAGAGTATTCTGATATTGCTTTATTTGTTGTTGATGCCAAAGCTGGTTTAACTAATATTGATCATTAAATTGCAAGATGGTTAAAAAAAACTCTATCTTTAACAACACCTGATCCCAAATTAGTAAATGAATTGAAAGAATTAGAAATCAAAACTAATCTCAAAAAAGCTATATTAGTAGCTAATAAATGTGAAAATGATGCAATATTTGAAACTGACATTGATTCTTAACTTAAAAGAATGGGTCTTGGAAATCCTATTTATGTTTCAGCTGTTGATGGAACAGGATTCTAAGATCTCCTTACTAAAATCTCTGAAAATATACCTAAAACTGTTCATGAAGAGTATTAAGAAAGGAAATAAAAAAGGAAGGAAAAATATAAAGAAATTAAGGATAAATGTAGAGCAGAAATGGAAGAAGTAATTAAAGAATAATCAATCGAATTTGATATGAAAATTTGGGTAATTCTAAATTATTAATTAATAGGAAAAAGAATTTGATTTAGCTAATCCTAATCCAGAAGACAATAGTGATTTGGATGATGAAAATATAGCTAATCCATTATATACTAAATCCCCTATCTAAGAAAAGCAAGGAGTTTCAAAAGAAAATCTGTAACTAAGAAATCCTATTATGCTTTCTATTATGGGTAGATAAAATGTTGGAAAATCTAGTTTAGTTAATACTTTATTAGGAGGTATAAATGATTTTAATTAAATTATAACAGAAGATAGAGTTATTGCTGATCCTACTCCTGGAACAACCAGAGATCCTATATCTACATATTGGGTTTATAAAGGATAAAAAATATAATTAGTAGATACTGCAGGAATTGAACCTAAACCAAAAATTTAAACTGATCTAGATTTATAAATACTTGCTAAAACAAGATCTACTTTGAGATTTTCTAATGTTGTTGTTCTATTAATTGATTCATTAGGAGCTTTTAGAGAAGTGGATTTAGAACTTGCTTAAGAAATTGTTAAATAAGGTAGAGGATTAATAATTGCAGTAAATAAATGGGATATTGTTGATAATGATTTTAAAGCAAAAATAGTTAAATATTTAAAAGGATAATTAGAAAGAAATCTTGGAGAAGTTCCTAATTGTAAATTAATTACAATAAGTGCTGAAAAAAAGATTAATATAGATCAATTAATGGATTAAGTTATTTAAGTTTATGACAAATGGAATACTAGAGTATTCTAATTATTTAATATTTTAGATATCAACTGGTCTATTAAATGATTGGTTAAATAAATTTAAAAAGATTTAAAGTTTACCCTCTGAAGATGGTGATAAATTAAAAATTAGATTCATCGCTTAAATAAAAGTAAGACCACCAACTTTTGCATTATTTATTAATTAAGGCTCTTTGTTTAAAAGTATATATATTTATAACTAAATTTTAGCTAGTTATTTAAAGTTCTTGAGAAAAAAGTTAAGTGAGGAATTTGATATTTCAGGAGTACCTATTAGATTGGTTTTAAGAGATATAGCATATGCTAAAGAAAAAAAGACCTTGGAAAAAGATAATGAAATGACAGTAGCAGATCTTTTATTAAAAAGAAGGAGAATTGCTAGATTAGCAAAATAGAAGTTAGAAAAACTTAAATAGAAATCTCAAACAAATAAATAGTGATTTCATTGTTTTATATGTGTATGAAATTCCTTAAAAAAATTAACATATTTTTTAAGATATTTTAAAAGTATATTATTAAATGAATGAATATATTTCAATAATAAATGAATATCAATTTAATTTAATTACTCTCATTGATTCTAATTATTTTGAGGAACGTTACAATAATTATTTATTAAATTAAATCTATTTATCAAGAATATATTTATCTTCTTAGAAAAATAATTCTAAAAAACCAGGATCAATTAATGCATAAAGTTAAATGTCAGATAATTTTGGTAACTCCTTCCAAATTAGTTTAAAGCCACATCCCATTTTTCCATTTTCTCGAAGTTTATTGTATGCTTTTGTTTAGAGGTTAGGAGAATAAAATTATTCATATTCTAATACTTCTAAAACATGATTCCTGCTTAACTTAAATCCATATCTTTTAGAATAGATTTAATTTAGAAGTTAGTCACCTTTTAGAGAAAAATCTCCACATTTGAGTTCCTCTTCACAGTTTGTTTCTTTCAGCCATATTTTATGACAGTTTGGGCAGGCTTTTATTGAATTAAACAATTGATTTGGAGATTGTTCAAACTTTTTTGAGATTTAATCAGCCATCTGATCAACCACATTCATTAAAGTCTTTTTGAAATCAAAAATAATTTATTATTCTGGATAACGATCATTATATATTCTTTCTAATTCCTTGAAAATTTATTTGTTTTCTCCTTAGAATTTAACTAAAGATACTTCGACTTGTTCTTTTAGAAATAGCATTAGATAAAATAAGATAACTGGTGTATTTTCTTTTTAGCTATCTAATTTTAGGATTAAATCAATAGCATATTTGTAATATTATTTTAATTGCTATTCGATTTCTCCTTTTGAAATTTCTAATTCAAATTCATACTGATCTGGAATTTCAATAAGATCAAATTGCTCGATTATATCAATATCTACAAATTCTTTTGATCCACTTTTTTATAAAATATTATCTATATTAGTGCAAATACTTTCTGGACTGTCATTCCTAGATATGTAAATAACTGAATAAATTCCAAAAACTTTTATATCATTTGAAAATTAATTTTATATTATTTTCAGTTTGTCTTAATTAGGATTAGATAAGTCTTCAGAAGCAAATTCCCAATGAGTTACAGCAACTGTAATTATTTTACGATATTTTCTAAAATATATTACCATTTTTTTTATAAAATTCTTCATAATATCTGATCTTTCCCATTTAACAACCAATATAATTTGATTTAGAGGTCCTTCACATAAAGCATTTTTAATTCCTTATGCATTCCTTATTTTTTCACTTGATGAACCTATGGGAGGTGTATCAATAACTTTAAAACCGTAACCATATACTGATTATTTGATGCAGGGATATCTAATATTAATTAAAAACTCTTTATTACTTAGTCACTTAATAACCTCCAGATATTACTAACTAATACTCTCGGCAAATTTTATTAAATAATGTTGTCTTTCCACTTGAAATTTAGCCAATCAATATTATAGAGTTATTCATTTTCAATTGAAATTATAATATCCTATTTGTGATTTTATATCATCCAAATTTTCTATTAGAAACATTCACCTAGAATAAAAGAAGTATTTCTATTAAAAACTTTTATTAATTAAAATCTTTCATAAAATCTCAAAGAATTTTTTTTAATTTTTATTAAATACATTATTTAATTATTTCTTAAAATAAATTATTTATTTTTCAAAACATAAATTTAAAAGTTTAAAAATCATGATCAGAGATCAACAATTATATCAATGATCAAAATATATTACATATAATCAAAAATAAACATAGTTACTGAAAATTCGAAAAGATAAAGTATGGATAAACTTTTAGACTTAATTCGTTTTATTTAATATATTTAAAGGCCCATGGATAATAAAAGAATTTGTTAAAGATTTATGTATAAAAGTCAATTATCAATAATATTATATCATTTCTGTCTAAAAGGATAAGTAATTTCTGCCAGAAAAATTGTTATTGTGATAATAACTATTTAATATTAATTTATAGAAAATATCATAGAAGTACAAAAAAGTAATACAGATAACAAAATTTACATTTTTAATAATAATCTAATGGATGGGTTGTTAAATGAACAATTATTAATCAGCAATCAAATGATGGTTTCAAATTATAATTAAGAGAAACAAAAATAGATAAAATAGAATTCGTAAATCTTGATTTTAAAAATAATATTATAAACACAAAATACTAGGAAATAAAATATTAAAATAAATTTAAATTAAACAGGTTATTTTAAAATATACTTAATTTAAAATACTTTAATAATGTTGCTATTGTTTTAATAAATAATAATATATAAATTTCATTAATTTATTTCATCCTTAATTAAATTGAAAGAGCCAATAAAATTGGTAAGTTTTTCAAGTGGATTAATTTATTCTTAGGAGGATTTATCAAAATGTAGATTGGTTTACATAACAAGTGTACAATTTTTAGGTCTAGTAAGAAGTGTTTAACTTTGTTCTCTAATAGTGAATGTTTTATCTCTAGTTGTTAATGCTTTATCTCTATTAACTGATTACATGAATGGATTTTTAGAAAATGTAGGCATAGCTGATTTTTAAAGTCTAAAAATGATAATAATATATATTTATATTACATAGCCATATTAAGTTATTTAGGATAATCAATTTCATTTTCAATTTAATCATCAGAAGGAATAAAGAATTTATGTTTAAGTAATTCATTTGCTTTCCATCTATGATTTGGATTTTTGTTTAACATTTTAGACATCAAATCTCTTTCAATATCATCCAATTAATCCTGTGAGAATCTTTAAAAATTAATTTCACATCTTCTATTTAATTCTAATTATTCTCTTTTATCTTTTTTTTCAAATAATGGTTCTCCAACTAATCTAAATTAGGATAATTAAATACAAAACATAAAGTATAACACCAGCACTAAATATATCACATACAGTAGTATATCTAGCAAATTCAGTATCTTATTCTAATATTTCAGGAGCTACAAAACCAGGAGTACCACATTTAGGATAAGTATATGGATGTTAATCACAAAATTAAGCTAATCCAAAATCTGCTATTTTAAGTGATTCTAAATCTTTTGACATAAATAAAATGTTTTCTGGTTTTAAATCTCTATGCATTATATTAAATGTATGAATAAATGCCAATCCTTCCAATAATTATCTCATAATTATCCTTATATCATTTCTACTAAATAATGTTGATCTCTTTTTCATTAATGATAATAATGAACCTCCTTTGGCTAATTCCATTACTAAGTAATAATTCTGATTTCCTATATATAATTCATTTAATTATAGAATATTCTAATGTTTATGTTCAGAGAGAATACGCATAGTTTCTATCTCCTACATTAATTGACGATATCCATTTTTTTTTTCATTTATTTTTTATTAATCTATGCATTTAGCTGCATATTATTGATGATTATACAAATTAGTTAATTCAAGTACTGTAGCATAGGAACCCTTGCCTAAAATTGATTCAGCTTAATATTCATCCTATATTTTCATTTGAAATGCATATAGAGCAAATTTTAATTTTATTTCTCTCAATTATTCGTTGCTTCCAAAATATTCATATGATTAGTTTCCAACTTAAAAAATTATTGATTTTAACATATTTTTTGAATATAGCCACTAAATACGAGTATCTGTATTTATTACAAATTATCTCTCAGGAATTTGCACCTTTGGAGACTGTACTCATATAATAATATCCATACTTTTCCAATACAAATGTGATTTTTAAATAAGTAGATATACCTTGGACTCTTACCAATAAATTTTTTCTTAGTTAGAATACATTAGTATATACACTCATTATAATCGACACTTTATAATGTATTTTACACTCTATCATGGACTGTACGAGATTTTTGTCTCATTAGTAAAATAATAATATTAATATCTATAATAATTCGATTAAAATCAGAAACTAATGGCTTTTTATAATATAACAAAAAGATTTATGAAATAAACTAATTATAATATGTATTTAATATGAGATTATTATTATTGTAATTAATAAAATATAAATATATATATAATGTAATTCAATCAATATCAATATTATCATCAAAAATTTCATTCATTAATTCTTAAATATAAAGTAGATCTTCTGGTATAAGATCGGCTGCAATTTTATTTAAATACAATGCTTTTGTATCAACATCTAAGATCCTATATGAAATCCAATAGCTTTCTTTCATTTCCTTACTATTCAAAGCCTAAATGAGTAAGCTCTCAAATTTACTTAATCAAGCTTTTAAATTATACTTTTATAATAGTCACTTTCATTGGGTTCACTTAAGTTGATTCTACTCATTAATAATAATTAGATGTTTATCCAATTCTCTTTTAGATCATTTAAATTCTTAATTGGATCATTCGGATCAACATTTTTTGAAAATTTCTAAAATGGTTAAAATTCAATTTTTTACTGAAAACTTCTCTTCTGAAAATATATTATTTTCTAAAGAGAAAGTAACAAAACGATCAAAAGACATAGCTTTTTCACCACTTTCATTTGATATTGTATCACATCTTTCCATAAATTGAGTTCTTATTTATTTATTATTACATGTTGTTCCTTAATTAATTTCAAAATGCAAATATAATTTTTAGAATTCTTGAAATTCAATCATTCCATCCATATCCATATCAGCAGAATAAAATACTTCTTCGAAATGAGCTTAATGTGTTAATTTAAATTAATGATAACCATTTAAAACTTTACTTATAAAAAAGTCTACATCAACACACATTTTATTCTTTCTTTCATATGTATTTGAACGGATTTCCTTAATAATTCTATCTTTAATTTCTAATCCTAAACATTAATGTTAAATATCTAATGATGCTATAGCTTTTTCTAATGAAACTAACACACCCTTCTCATTAACAATTGATGCCATATGAATAGCTATTTCATTTTCATCAAGAATTTTTAATGATTAAATATAAATATCTAAATCATCTAAAGTAAGAGGACTTAACAATTCCAAAAATCTATTTATCTATCTATTTATACCTTCCAAAAAGATTAATTCTAAAATTCTCTCTATAAGAATATACAGATTAATAAAAATTAGTTAATTTTTACTCTGCCATGCTTTTGAATCCATAGGTATTAACAAAATGCTCATAACATATTTAATGTAAAGATATATTTTTATTTTGATATTACCTTATCTTATCACAATAAAATTAAGAAATGAATTTCAGTACATTTATTTTTTACATTTTTGGTGTTGCCAATTTTGGATTTTTAGCAAAACGTTCAGCCAAAAAAGTAACTAAATATTTAGATCTTTAAAAATTAATTTAAGTTGTGGATTCAGAAATATGTCTATTTTAAAACTCTTATAAATTTAATTAATTAAATACTTGGAGCTTATGTTTGAGTAATATTCCTTTTTTTTTATTATCTATCAGATCTTTTCTTAGAACAAGCTTCCAACTTAGATGAAAATGATGAATCAATACTTGAAGCATCACTATTATCTAATTCATCATTCAAAAATTTTTTAAGTGTATCTGAAATCAATTTTACATTCTCATTATTCAATGTATTCGAAGTACTAATAGGAGTGCTTTTTTTAGCAGATTTTAGACTGGATCTATTATTTCCATTGTTTGGATTTAATTACTACTAATATAACATCTATATTTATATTACATGATTTCCAGGAGACTTAGCAAGATTTTAAAATTATTAGGATCTTCTATTAGATGTAAAACTACGTTACGAAACAACATCCTATTTTTAATAATATTCAATACATCTTAAGGAATAGAAATACTTTATTAAAAGGAGATCTGAGACTATGATAAATCACTTTCATTATCAGATTCCTTTTATTATTCATCTGTATTTGTAATTTAGATGTTCCATTTCTTTTTTGGAATACTTATTTATTATCCTTAATGCTCTTATTCTATACTTCTATTATTTGAACCTTCAATACTTTATTACTTTTTATTAGATTAACTATCTAATTATTACCTTCCAGGTGATAAAGCCATCTAATTCTAGGGAATATTTTATAATTAAAATTATTATTAAAAATTTGATGATATTTCTAAAGATGATGGTAATTGACTTTAAGATTAAGTAGCAGGTTATTTTTTTGAAGTAAAAACACTTGATCTCTTTTCTTATATCTTCTTTTTCATTATATTTGTAAATTTTTATGTCTTAGTTAATTGATTGATTAAATTTGTAGTTTTTTCAATAAGTTGTTATTTTTTGTCCTTTATTTTATTATACTTTCTCTCTAATTTAGAATTGATCTTTAATAAATTATAATATTTTACTTATTCTTATAATTCTAAATGACTTTCCAATTCTACAATTTCATTTTTTGCTGATTCCAAATTCTACTAAAGATTATCATTATTGATTTTCTAATTTAATAATTGATTATACTAATAATTATAATTCGTTGGTATTCCTAGCATTTTCATCTTTTTAAGCACTATTAATAAGTAATAAACTAGTTCTATATTCTCTTTAATGTTAGACTGCTTATTTCATTTTTGATAAGATATCTCCAAGACTTAGAATAAAAGATGAAATTTATTTTAAATCAAGACTATCTAATTGATCTCCATCAATATTTTATTTACAATTGTCAGATGCTAATAGGAATTATTCTTAAAATTAAATTAATTAATCTTCTTCATTTTTGATATCCTCTAAAATATCAGTTGGTAATTCTGTTTATGTTTCCTTTTAAATACCATTATTCATAGTCAAATCAGTTTAAACAACATTGTGTCTAACATCAGGTAAGAGGATTGATCTAAAATTAATAGGATATTTACTTATATTCTGGTTAAGTATTAAATCCAAAAGCTTAGGTAGTTTGCTCTTTTTATAAATTCATTAATGTAATTAAATCATTTGTATCAGTCGCTTAGTTCATTAGAATATCTTCCAAATTTGATAGAGTAGTATCAGGATCACTTTTTAAGGCATCTTATATTAATTCTTGAGTTTCATTATTAATAGATTAATGCACACCAGCTTGAATAAGTTTTAACGGTTATGGAAATTGTAGTGGAGAGTGATCACTAGCTAAAGGAGATTCAATTCTATAATTAGTTTAGGATTTCTATTGAAACTTTAAGATATCAATTTCATTTTCTTATATCTATTATTTTAGATTTTCTATTTCACTCAATAAATATTTAGTTTAAATAGTGTTATCATTAAGTTAGAATTTGAGTTCTCTTAAATTGTTTTGTAAATTTCTATTAGTTTTTTTTAGATATTTGGCATTATCTTTTAACTTGATTAATTTTTATGTAAGCTTGGATTACTCTTCTTTATGATTGGAAATAATTAATTAAAAATTATCGATTTCTTATTGATATAATTAATGTGTTTTCATGATTTATTTGAGATTAGATTTTTCAATTTCTTTCTTTTCATTAATAACTTAATAGATGAGAGTGGAATTGATTTCCACATATTGATTCCATATTTTTTCTAATAAGACACTAAATATAATTGTAAATTTACATCACCTCCTTTCAATACAATCAATACTGATTTGTCTAATTAATTCTTTTAAACATAAAGTTAGTACATTTTGAACTTCTTCATAAAAGTCAATTTATTTAGTATCAGAATATTTATCAAAAATTTATTAAACCATGAGATCAACCCAAATGGCAAGTGATTTAATATCATGTCTTATAATAATAAAAATAGATTACTTTAATGGAATACCTCTATGAAGTTTATCTCTAGGATTATGTTTAGAGAGATTAGAGCAGAAATTACCTAATTATAATGGAGGTTCTTTTAATTGGTTAGGAATGTGTACTTGAACAGTAGCTTAAATATGAATGATAAAGATTACGTTCTCTTAATGTTTAAGGTGAAAGATAGAGATCAGATAGACGAGTTGGATATTAATAGGGATCATAACTTTTCAATTGTCCATAGAAATCATTACGTGGTTAAGATTTCATTTTATCTATGATGTCTAATTGATTTTATGCTAAAAGTGGAGATCCATAAAATGTCTATAAATTTATGAGTTCAATACTCCTTCAGATAGAGGCTTATGCTTTTAGGATTATCTGTAAGAGATGCTTGAATACAGCTACGAACTTTTTAAATTAGGAAGTGAATCTCTTTGAATTCTGGCCATTCTTTCATTTGAAGAATCTGATCTTTAAGTTGGCCAAACTGGTTAGTTTTATTGGATTGGTTAAGTAGACTTAAGGATACGAAATTTGTTCGAATCACTCATATTGAATTAATTGGATAAATTAAAAATATAAATATATCATTACACTAGAATTGACTATTTCTTTTTAAGAACATTTATTTTCTTCCAAGTAATTAGAACACATATTAATGCTATCATGCCTGATGAATAGAGATATATTGTAAAATTTATAGAAGTTTCTTATCTATTTAATTCAATCATAAATGATGTATTGAGCATATTAGTTTAATGTTTCATTAAATCAATTTCTCTTTTAAACTTATCAGCTTTATATGAGAGTTATTCATTAAGTAAGATTAATTATTGTAATTCTTCATATTTTATTTTTTCAAGATTATCTGAATGATAATCATTATGATAATCAATTTCAAATAACTCTTTATTATTATTCTAATCATTATCATCTACATTAATATCATCATTCTCAACATCAGTAACCCATTAAATATTTTCATTGATTTTTGGTTAATCAACTTCTATATAGATTTCATATTCTTCTTCAGAATGATCATGATCACCAATCAACCATTTTTATATTGAGTCTGAATTCATTTCCCCATCAAAATATATTAATGCTTTTGCTGCTTTATCAACAAAAACTAATTAAGGTGTGCTCTCTATATTCAATTCAGAACATAAATCATGTGCTTCTCTACAATCAATAAATCCCATAAAGATAGAATCACTATGTTATTGATATAATTCATTCCATAATGTAATCATTTCATCATCCTTAATAATTAAGAGTAATAACTATATTCACAAATTATTTTTACATCCTAATCACTATTAACAAGATTCTCAAATTCTTGTTTATTAATTCGATCACCTTAAAAAGAAGCCTAACCTATTGTTAATAGGATATAAAATAGAATCATAGTAAAAATAATTATTATTAATCAAATACATTAATATGTTTTTCCTTCTATTGTTCTTAAATTAATTATTGTTTTTTTATTTCTTTCCCTTTGAATTTTATATTTTTCCTGCAATTTCTTAACTATCTTATTGAAGTCTTTCATCTTTCTATTGAATAATTATTTTATTCATCTTTCTATTGAATAATTATTCTATTCATCTTTCTATTGAATAATTATTCTATTCTATCAATCTTGCATAATGAAAGTTCTTCTTCTTAAGATTTTCTAAATATAAATATTCTATATCTCTATCATTAAAAAATAAATAATATCTTAGTAAATGTTATAATATAGTTTCATATATTTTCAATAATTTTATGTTTATATCGCATGTTTGAAATAGTAAAAATCACTAAATTATCACTTACTAATGCTATAACTTCATTAAGAAACTAAAATATAATGAGAACCTCTAAATTTAACTTTTATAATTATGACTTAACATTAGGTATTGGTAGAATCTGTCAAAAATTCATCATAAATCTTGGATGAATGTGAATATAATAACTAAAATCGATTTTAATTGATTAATATTTCATATATATATATATTATCGTCAATCAGGAAACTTCATTACATATAAATTAGATTCTTCCTTTTACAATTTCTCAAAAAAGGCCTCATCCTTACTTTATTTATCATCTGTTTAATTAGTCTATAAATTATTAGAATTTTATTTCTAACTAAAACTTACCTTTGATTCATACACATAATAATAATTTATTGTATTAATTAACTACAAACGTTTAAATTCCTTCAATTATTAAAAGTATTCATGAAACATAAAAGTTATGTCTTTAAACTTTCTTTTTGCTTTAGTCATTGAGTCTTCCCCATCAATATTTCTGTATTATCTTTTCATTTATCTTAAATTATTGATTGAATCTTGAAAAGGTGAATGTTGCTATTTTTTTCTTACTTTTTTATTTTTATTTTTTAAATTCTGATAAGTAAATCCTAGCTCATCTATTTCATAATAATTGTAACATTAGTCTTTTCTAATAATGCCCAAACCATCTCTTCACAATTTAAACGTTCAAACATTGAATCTAACATTGCTGTAAATAATGATGTATATGAAACACCCCAAAAAACTCATATAGCCATAGATATACGACCTAAATCAGTTGTTGGATAAAATTCACCATATCCAACTGTTGCTATTGTTGTTAGAGTTACCCACAATGATGACATCACTCTATGTATACTATTTTAGATATCATCTCTATAAAAAGCTCTCTCTGCTAACTCTAAACTATAACCAAATAAAACCATTCCACTTAAAAATAAACCCATCAAAGTCTATCTTGGCAAATATTTCATACATAACTTAAATACTAAATCAGTATCAAAATTGGTAGAGTAAACTCGACTAAAAATAGAATATATATTTGAACCATAATCTCCCTATTTGACTGCTGTAAAAGCATGAAAATTTTAAAGTTATTTTTATTAATAGTATAACTCGGAATGTTAAGATATAGGTTAATATTTCATTCAAGTAGTAAAATCTAACCTCACCTGTATAACGTTAATTAAAATATACTCTAATCATCTATGTAAAAGGTGTTGGAATTGGTAATATCAATATCATTTCTATTCCCAAACTAACCAGCTTAAGATGTGATTACCATTGATCTCTTTTTATATCTTAACAGAACTTTGTACGAAATTAAAGTTAGGAAAACTATACGATAGCAAGGGAAAAGCATCTATAGAATATATATTTAGCTTTTTATTTGCAGAAAGGGTCATAAAAATATGATGTATAATAATGTTAATGAATATCACATAAAACCTAACCATTTCGACTATTGGATATTGTTCTAGCAGAAATAATGTTATTCTACTATCTTCAAATGTATCTAATGAGTCTGAAAATATTGATTTTTCTCTCTTTACTCTTAATTTTTTATCTATTAATTGAGTTTTCTTTTTTATTCGATCCAAATTTAAAGACATAATTTATATAATTAATTATCAATGAAGAAAGTAACTTAATCTACTGCATCTACCTTCCAACCAAAACGAAGTATAACAAAAGCAAAAACTTAAAATTAATTTGAAGAAACAGATCCTGCTTAAAGAGGTTATGAATTTATAATATGAAGACAGGAAAATAATCAGAATGAGAAATGTTGTTGATTTAGGAGATGCACAAGAGGAGAATAAAAAAAATTAAAAAAAGAATGGTAATTCTAAAAGTTAATTAATTAGAAAATTAAAATGATCCTCTTCTTGAATAACTTGATTAATGGCATGAAAATATTATGTCAAAAAAAAAGACTTATGCATTTGAGTAAGTAAAATAGAATGAAAACAATAATAAAGTGATTGAAAATGAATTCAACTTAGATCATGGACCTTAAATAAATTCAAATATTATAAACTAAATCATGAAGCCTGTTGAGTTACCTAATTTTAAGATTGAAGAAAATAATAATGATGTTTAAGTTTAATTTCAAATGCTTAGACCAAATAAAGAATCTGGTAATGTTTTGAAAACTCTTGATTAAGTAAGAATTGAAATGAATAAATAAATATTAAATAGTCTTCTTCTTTAAAAAGTAACTAAAAAACTTGATGATATGAATGTTAATCGAAAACATAAAACAAATTGGAATATTTAACGCATAGATGATGAAATTACTTAAATATTTAGAGATTAGTCACATGCATTAAAATAGAGAACACTAAATAACTTTAAAGGATTAACTGAGTATTTTAGTAATCCAGCTTAATATATTGATTATGATGTAGTTTTATCAAAAGCTAAATATCATGCTAATAGACCTCCAACATCATTCCCAACCACTTAAATTCCATAATAATAACAAAATTCTACATCTGCTAAGTCTTTAATGGAAAGTTATCAATTATTTTAAATTTAGATTAAAGAGCATAAAAATGTATTATTTCAAATGAGAATTGAAAATAATACATTAGTATAAGAATTAAATTAATTTGAAGAAGAAGTTCAAGATCTAAGAAGAAAGTTCTTTGCTAAAGAAGAAAAGGCAAGATAAGGATGGATACCTGAATAATAATAAAATGATGGGGTTCATTCCAAAAAGAAAAATTTAATGGATATAATTTAAAAAATTAGAGATCAAAGAGATAATGAAATAAAAATACGAACTAGAGAAATAGCACAATTAAAAAAATAAATGTAATTAAATAGTGAAAAATAATAATAAATATAAAAAGAACTTGATGAGATGAGATAAAAGAAAAGAAGATGTAAAATGTTATTGAAAGATATCTTTTTAAAATAATTCTAAGATTCAAATAATTCTATAGTACCTGAAGGATTAGTTAGTATTATAAAAAACATGAGAAAAATAAATGAAAGTGCAAAGCCAGAATATTTCCCAAAATTCTTAGATGAAAAATCTAAAAATTATTTATTATTAGCTGCATAATTAGAAATTGAGATAGAAGAAACAAGAGTTCTATCCTAAAAATACAATCATTAATAATTAATATCAAGGGCTACTAGTGCAAGATAACATATATCTACTTAAAGATAATAAATGAATGTTTCTGAAATTAAAAATCAAGTGAAAATTATGTTAAAGAAAAGTAAAGTTTCAATTAAAAAACCTGTTTTTGTTTAAGGAATTGATCCTATTAATCCAAATTAATTTGCTCATGTAATTAAATGGGAACATCAAGATTTAGAACATTAATAAATTACAGAACCTATTGAAAATAATTTTAAAAATTAAAATGTTTCTTCAGAAAGAAATAATATTATAAAAGATTATAATTAAAAACTAGTTTAATTATAATAATAATTAGAATAAGCTACAAATGAGGAATGTTAAAGAATTTTAAAATCTTATTCAAATAAAAAATTATTATCTGATATTTAAGAATTAAAAATGGTTTTGTATGCATTATTTGGATAATCATTTGGAGATTAATAATGGATTCAATTTGTTGTTGAATGGACTGAATAAAAATAATTGAATCCCTTATATGTATTTAAATAAGAAGAACAATCTAAATAAACTGATTCACGAAAAGACTAACATTCTATACCTGAAAAGATGAAAACCAAAGTATCTGAAACACTAAAAAAATTAACAGAAGTTACAAATGTTGATTATAATTTTGAATTATGTTTTTGATTTATTTATATTTATTAATAGAAAATAGGTATCAAATTTACATTTTAATTGAATCTTTCTATTTAATATATATTAAATCTAGAAAAAATAATCTCATTCTTTTTTAGCAGTAATGATCAAAACTGTCTTAGCAATTATAACCACAAAATAATAAACATCTTCAAAAATCTTTATCCATTTATGTTATTTTTTTTGTATCTATTCGATATCAGGTATTTCAGGATTAATTTAAAATTAATCTAATTTTTTATTCATATTAGATGTTTAGGTTTTATCTTGAGTTTTTTGTAAATAATCAATAATGCTATTAAATCTTGTAATTTCGCCATTTTCTAAACTATTCAAACAAAAATAGCAATTGAAAGAGCTTTAATAACGTAAAAAATATTAAAAAATTTTTTTAAAGTTTTAAAAGTCCTCATCGTCTTTAATATCAGATGGCTAATTTGAAATTAAGCAAGTATATAACATATATAAGCTTTCTATAGTTTAAGGTAAACTTGAGTCAGAGTTAGTTTCTTCTTACTTTTTTGGAATTGTAATCTTAAATATATGTTTATTATCAATCATCTCTTAAATTTTTAAAGATTTTTCTTTTAATTCTTTGAAATAAATTGTACTTTTATTCATTAAGTAATTATTCACAATATCAGAACTTGATAATTGGGTTACATGTTAAAGTTATATTTTAATTGGTTCTGATTAGATTAAACTTTAGATAATATCTTACTTTTTTTTAATTGAGAAAACTTAATCAATCATTTCTTGATTCTTTATTTTTCTTACAATTTATATATTTTTAGGCAATCCTGCCTTAAATTCATTTCTTGAACTTAGTTATTATCTAACTCTATTAATTTAATCTTCATCTGATCCATCTTCATTATATTGATTAATAATAAAATTTATTTTTTGAGTAGAATGTTAATTATTACCTAAAGAAGATTAGATGAATTAAATAAAATCTGCTCCTCTATTTTATAATACTTTTGAAGAGCTGTCTAATACATAAACAATTTTAGTATTGAAAGATTCTGTTATTTTCTGAAAAAGTACATCAATAAACAATTTATGATAATCACTAATAGTGCTTGCAAATCCAGGTAAATCTATAAGAACATGATCCAATTCTTAAATATACGCATAAATTGAAGTTTATGTAATTGAAGTAGATGTCGATCCAATTTTCGATACATACATATCTTCATGAGTTTGGATTACTTCTAAATAACCTTCATTTATTTCGAATTTTGCTCCTAAAAGCCAATTATAGAGTGTACTCTTTCCAGCTCCAGTATTACCACATAATAAAATCACTTATTTGTCTGAATATTACTACATGAATTTATTTAATTTTTTAAAGTTGTTATCTACTCTCTAAATTATTTCTGTTATGATCTCTTCGCCAACTTCATTGAATTATTACTCTTTTTAATCAATTTGTTTCATTTTCTTAGAAAGTTTATATGTTTAAAAAAATCTAATTCTATTAATGAATTACAATTTTATATGAGATAATTTTTATGTTATTTTAAAACATTTATATTTAGGAGATAGATCCAAGATCTGAAATAGTTATTCGAATACTTAAAAATCATTTAGTTTGTAAATAAATTAGTTATTCAGCGATAATAAACATTACATATAATGTAATTTAAATTCATATCATCAAAATGAATGGAATAAAATATTAATAACTATGAAGGAATAAACAGAAAATAGTATAAAATTATAAAATAACTTTATTAAATTTAAATATAGAACAAAAAGAATAATGTGATTCAAAATATTGTTAGATCAATGATAATAAAGTTATATATTAATAAGAATATGTTATTACAGAATTATGAAAATGGTGTTAGGATTATATTATTATTTATAATGATTAATATGTTAGTTGATAAGTTTGATTTATATGATTAGTCTATATTTGAAATAATTTCTAAATTTTATGAGTTGACATACTTTAATTATAATATATTATTTTATTTATAAAACATTTCAAATGAACTTTTAAATATAAATTTAAAAAATAGTAATAATTAATATCATATTATTCAATTAATTTATCTATATAAAAAAGGTATAGAATGGATTTGTTCAAATATAATAATGACATAATATTATATCATTCTGTTTTGACTTTGGTTGATTTCTTAGCTGAGCAGCATGATGAAGACCATAATAATAATCCTCCAATTAAGGCAAGCATTTTCAAGAATTCAATTTGAGTTGTTTAATCGTTACTAAATAATGGATTGGCTGTGATAGCAATTTATAATAATAATCCAAGGACAGGTAAGATAACAAAGCTTAATTTTTAATTGAAATTAGATTTACCATCCACATAAAAACATTAAAGCTGAACCTGCAATGAGTCCTGCAACAATTTATTTGGCTAAGACTGCTGGTACTAATTTCATGGTATTAGGAGGTATATACTATAATTTTTGTTATGTAAATTACTTATTTGACTAATTAATGATTTTAGAATTCATTGTATTTTTTTTCAAATTGTTTTCCCATTGAAACATCATTGAATAAAAGGTAACTGTATCCAACAAGAGCTGTTAGCAATAATACTTTTCCAAAAAATGACATAAATAAAATATTTTATTTTATTAAACCACATGTATAAATATTGCTTCTAGAAAATAAATGATGATGTGTTAGTATATTGAATATTAAATAATAATGAAATGTGTTATAATTCATTATTTATTATTTTTTTTTTCTCTAAATTAGACTCTAAGTGAATATATTTTTTTATCTTTATCCCAAACAGGTTGAAATTTTCCATCCTTGAATAAATTAAAAAATAATACTTATGTTTCTATCTCTTGATTAGGTATTTTAAAGCCCACATTTTCATACGGTTCCCCTGCAAAAATTAAATATTGGTAATTCTTGTCTGCTTATTCTATCTTTTGTTCAAAGGCTGACATAACTCTATGTTTTGGAATGAATCCAGGTTGTATGTCTTCATAATAAAGCTCAAAATATAACACTTTATAAGTATTCTCAACTGTTCGTGTAACCTTGTATCCTGGACGTCCTATCTTAACAGTTTGATGTTTCTAAGGTTTTGGTTAATTTTATTTTGTCATGTGCATCATGGCATTAAGATCTTTACCTTCCCTTGCTTTTCTACGTAATAGATTTTATTAATGTTTCTTTCCTTATGTATGAGCTAAATATGAACCCTCATTTGTATGAAGAGTCAAACATAATCTATTTAATAATTTTAATATATACTTGCATTCATAAGTACCAAGATGATTAATCATAAAGTAAGGATCTTTTAAAGATCAATTATTTCCATTGCTAACTATTTCAAACGTTCTCTTCTTTCTACATTTGCATCTGCTCCTGATGTCATTGGACCAGAACCTGTCCTACCACCTGGTCTATTTTACATATCCATTTATTTAATTTAGGCTATATTAAAACCTTATTTAAACAACTACATAAAGTTTTTATCGATTATATCAGATATGGAACAGGAATACTTTATAACATAGAAAGAGAAGCATCAATTAAAAGTAAATGTTAATTTTAAGCATATGAAATTGATTAACAAGATTGCACTCAATTCAGATAGTGAAGGTTAAAAGTTGCTCATAAGATGCCGAAGATGAAAAATTTAAATACTAATAGTAGGAATAAAAAATCAGATCGAAATCAACGGGAATAGAAATGAGTCTAAAACTTTTGGTTAGACAAAAGGAATAATTGATTCATTAAATTAAAGATTGACTGACTAGCATATATATTAAAGATTAATAAAAGGTAAATGATTGCTTTATTTCCATAGTTATCTATGATGACAAAATAAGAGGGTTTAGTATAAAATTTATTGTACGATTATGATGGCAATTGATGTCTTGACAATATAGATTAAAAATAAGAATAAGTGAATAATCTTGATGAAATAATCATTAAGTGTGAAAATATCTCTAATTCTGAAAATGATATTAATAATTAATGATTACATTTACATAATCAAAAAGTCGATTCTCTCTTTATTATATAGAAGAAAGTGAGAAGTATCTATAAGATTTTTCAGCAAAGGTACGGTAAGTGAATATGATGAAAGGAGATGAACGGTAAATGAATAAATAAATAAGATTATAGATTAGAAAGGGGAAAAGTGCATATTTGTTCAAGAACATTAATATTCGAACCAGAGAAGTAGGAATTACCTATTTAGAAATTGTTTTATAAAATGATCACAACTCCTTTAAAACAATCGAATTGCATTAGCTTTAGAATAAAACGGATTGTTGAAATTCATACATAAGGGCCACCTTCTCCTTATGTTTATTTAGATGATATTGATATGGAGATATAAATTGAACCATTATTTGATAATATAAAGATAGTGTTTGAATTAATAGAGAGGATTTTATAAATAAATTAGCAGAAACATGATGTTGAAGGAGAAGTAGAAAAATTGGATTCAGAGAAATTACAAAAAATAAGATTCAATATGAGTTTTGTGGAATCAGTGAGTGAGAAACCTTTGATTTAGAAGGAGATGTTAGTACGTAAAATAATGCCATTGATTTAGACTAAAGGTATTTGTTATAATGTAATATAAAACAGGGATTTTGTACATAACAAATAAAATAATATATTTCTAGCCATTCTTTAAAGTTACATTGAAACCATGTAAAAAGATTCCAATTGAATAGATTAAGATATTATATAAGAGAAGATTTGAATTAATGGATATAGGTTTAGAAATCATTTTAAGTAGTGGCAAAACAATATATTTTGCATTTGAAAATTAAGATAGAATGGAAGAAGTATATAGAGTATTAATAGGTAAATATTGGATATAAAATATTGTAGGTAAAGTAACAGTGGAAGCTGAAACTAGTTTAGAGAAGATGTAATATTTATGGTAAAGTGGATAGATTTCAAATTTTGAATATTTGATTAGATTAAATTAAGCTGGTAATAGAAGTACAAGTGATTTAACTTAATATCCTGTTTTCCCTTTGATTATCGTAGATTATGAATCTTAAAAATTGGATTTAAATAATCCATCAACTTTTCGTGATTTAAGAAAACCTATTGGAGCTTTAAATGAAAAGAGATTGAAAGAATTTTGGAGTAGATATTAAGAAATGCCAGTACCGAAATTTCTATATGGAACACATTATTCTACCCCTGGTTATGTCATAGGTTATTTGGTTAGATAAAAACCATAATATATGTTAAAATTATAATCTGGTAAATTTGATAAACCAGATAGATTATTTAAAAGTATTAAGGGAGATTTCAAAAATATTATGAATAACCCAACATCATTAAAAGAATTGATTCCAGAATTCTTTATGGATGATGATTCATTTTTAGTTAATAAATTTAATTTGGATCTAGGTATTAGATAAAATCAGAAGAAAGTTGGTGATGTTAAATTACCTAAATGGGCAACTAGTGCTAAAGAGTATTTGAAATTGAATAGATTGGCGTTGGAGAGTGAATATGTAAGTAATTATTTACATCATTGGATTGATCTTATATTTGGGTACAAATAAAGAGGACCAAATGCTGTTGAGGCAGCAAATAGTATTATTTATTGTTTATTTTAGTATTTCATTATCTAACTTATGAAGGCACTGTGTAAATTAATAATTTGACAGATCCTATTGAAAGATAAGCTATAGCATGTTAAATCAATGAATTTGGATAATGTCCCAAATAATTATTTAAGATTGAACATCCTCCTAAATATGCATTAAGAAGTGGATAAATTATGTACAAATCTGTTGAAAAGATTCAATAATAAAAAGAATAAGAAGTTCCGATTAATGTTGAAGGATTGATTTGGGAGAATTTAGACAAGAAAGATCAATTCACAAATAAAGTGATAGCAAAGGCTCATAAAACGTATTTACTTATTTATATAATAAAAGTAATATCACTGATATGGTAGTATTAGAAAAGAAAAATCTATTAGTAACCATAGGTTAAGATGGATTTCTTAAAGTTATTGATTTAAAAGAATTTACAGTCTTAAAATCATTTAAAGTAGATGAATTTTGTTTAAGTGTCATAGTTGTATTAAAATAAGATGAAATATTTGCAATTGGTAGTTGGGGTTCATAAATACATGTGTTTAATATAAATTATGGAAGTAAAGTATAAGTAGTTTAAAGATTTAATAATTCTGTTAGTTCTTTAGTTTATTTATAAAAAAAGAAAATATTAATAACAGGATCATGGGATTGTTCATTAAAGAAATTTGAATGTTCAGAAAATTAAATAAAATAAGATACTGAAGAAATGATTGATGATTGGGAAGCTTAAATTACAAATATAGCTGCAACAGATGATGAATAAATTATTGCTGTTGGAGATGTTGATGGAAAAGTAATTACTATTAGTACAAATAATTGGACATAATAGAATCAATTTGAAATTAATGGAGAGAAAATAGTTAAATTACTATTCTTTAAAACTAGTTTGCTAGTAGTAGGAGATTCATAAATTAAGATGTTTAATAATGCTAGTTAATTATTAGATTTTAAAATTGATAAAAATAATGGAATTATAACAGATGTATTGATTGATCGTGAAAAGTATCTTATAGTTTGTAAATCATATCTTCAAATCATTTTATCTAGGTACTAAAAAAGGATATGTCGCTGTCTTTTCTATGTTATTAGAGAGTAGATTAGGATATCTCTTCACAGATTATTAGACTCAGAGAGATTTAATCCCAAAATAAGATGAACAATTTACCAAGATGTCCTTATAAGATAAAGCATTAGTCTTAGCTAGTCATAATGGTAGTGTTAACATATTACAATATTGATATAATATTAATATAATATATATATATAATATATATATATTGTAATATAACCTAATCCCTTTTTATCTTAGACTTGATCTCTATTCTGGATTAACATTATAATAGTTATGAATATTATATTAATATATGTATATATTGATTCAATCATTTGTAAGCATCTTACACTTTCTTGAAAGAGTCCACTTGATGATTTATACATTTTTCTAAAATCACAAATCATTTCATACCAAGACATTAATGATTTTCTTTTGTCATAACATCATCCTTCCCAGACAATATTCCACATCTCACTTGACAGATACTGGTAAATCTCAAGAATAGACCAAATGTTTCTCTTTATTAAAAATTGTCCATAATAATATAATTCACAAAAATGAGTGAAGTAAAATTAAAAGAAATAAGGCTTGAGTATTGAATAATAATAATGTTTATACAAATAAGGAAGATATTTAGAATTACATAAGGCTAGAGATAGTAATAATATCAAATCTAGTAAAGTTAGAGATAAGGGTAAGGAATGGGAGTTAGTTATTAGATGTTATTAAAATATAGAAAATAATGAATTATTATATAAAATATATTAGTAGATTGCCTAATATGGATTATACTAAGTATCAAATAAGTTCCTTTTTATTTCCAAGAGTAAAATTGGTATAAAATAGAGATATATTGATAAATATATTACCATAATATTAGAATGTTATATTGATAGAATTTAGTAAAATATTTGCATACGTGTAACATATTATATAAAGAAATAGACAAATAGAAAATCAAGAAATTTAATATTGGTGATAATCTAGTTAATGTTATGTAAATTATCATTTGTAAAAAAGAGAATAAAAAGAGAATGTAGAAGTTATTTTCAATGATAATATGAAGAATATGTATAATATATAATATAACAAAGTAAAAAGCATAGAGAATCTTTATAAAATAGTAATAATTTAATATTCATGATAGTAGTATTAAAAAGTAGATATATGAATATCAAAATAATAAAGTAAGAGAAGGATTGATTTAATACTTTAAAAATATTATAGACTTATAACATTTCCATCATCATTAAATTAAATCTTTTCTTGTTTTTGTAAATTCTGAATAAAAAATTGCAAAGTGATTTTATAAAAAATTACTGGGCATTTGATTAGAATTAGATAATTGTAAAATTATCTGCATGAATTGAATGTTTGAGTGCATGTATATGTTTATCATGAATATTTATTTAAAATATTTTAAGAGCCATCTATAATGGTGTGTATTTATATTTGAATGATTCTTGTAACTTAATTTATATTGTTTAATACTTGGATTGATATAATGTCTTAGATTGATCTCCTAAATATATATAATATATTTTTGATAAGTATAGGTTGCCAAAATACTTAATTAATAAAGACATTCATTGATTTAGTTGGGTTATTAAGATTTGTCAATAAAAGAAGTTCTTGATAAATATATTCACATTTGTACATCTGTTATCAGAATGTGTATTGAAGCACTTAATATTTTAGTTGATTTCTTAAATGTCTGATATTGATATATTAATGTTCTGATTCTTTAGAAACTGATCTTGTTCTATATGTTTTAGTGATTTATGAATGTTTGTAAACCTGTAAAGGTAGAGATGAATAAGAGAACTGTTAGTTGTTTTAATCTTTAACAATATATCAAGTATTTTTATATATAATCATTATTCTTTTTACTAAACCACTCTATTGTAAAGTCGTCTTACAGATATTAACTTATTATTCACCGAACATTTCAATACAAAATGACGTGGATATTCTTTTAAACTATTAACTCCTGCTGCTCTTATATTATACATTGCTGATTCAGTCTCACTTTAAATACTCAATGTCTTTCTTTTCCATTCATTTTTACATATCTTTGCTTCATGGTAACCTACTTTCAATTGTTTCGCTGCCTCTTTTAATTCTACTCCTTAATTTGTCAACTCAATCAACTCTTTTTTTTATTCATCATTTAAAGGTTTCTTAACTACTGATGATGATATTTTCTTTATTTTCTTCATCTCAATCTCAACCTGCTTCTTTATTTCTTCTAGTATACTCATCTATATTTATTACTTACTTTTAAACCATCATTTCGCTATATCTATGCCCATACTATCTAATACAATAGTGCGAAATCACTTATTTATGATGTAAAACATTATAAATTAACATTTCCATACTACGTCATACATTAATATATCAAATTAAAACCAATCATTCCTATATTCTTAATATGCATTATTTACTGTTTATCATTTTCCTTTAATTTAATTACATCCCTCAATTCAACGTCTTATTGCATCAGAAATTTTTTACTCATCCTTTTTCTTATCTTCTTTCTATTTATTTCTATCCCTAAAATTATTATAATTATTTTTATACTCCCAACTATCTCCCCTTATATTCAATTTATTTCTCATTTTTTAATATTCTATTCTTTATATTTCTAAACATTTTTAATTCCTTTTTACCATCTCTTTTATGCTTAAAATCAATATACAGACTATTGTAAAATCAATTGTATTATAAAAATTTTATTAATTCCTTGATATTCATATCATAAACATATTGCTTTATTTATTCAAACAAATAGATGTCTGTATCTGTCTAAATTATTTAATCTAAAAAAGACTTGAATTATAAAGAAAATTTTATAGATATTCTAAAAATAAAACAATTCTTTTGAATTCTGATAATTTATAATAATAACTTTACAAATATTTTAATAATGATTCAATAAGAATTAAGATATAAAATAATATAAGTAAAATTACAAAAAAATTGATTCTTGTTTTTTTAAATATACTCCTAGATTGATTTTTAATTTAGGATATTACTATCATATAAATCCTATCAAAAATATAAATATCAATTACTTAACCATGATGTTCTAATATTTATAATGCAAAAACTCTCAGTTAGTTTATTTATAAATCATAAAAAACTTTATAAAATATCTCTATATTTATTATTATAATTTTAAAACTGAATATCAAATTTATAGAGAATTTTCTTAAAAGAAGACATTTTAAATTTAAAGAAGAAGGAAAGAATTGTTAAAAAGAAAAGTAACATCAAATAATTTTGATTGAACTTTTTCTTTATATAAATGAATCAAAAAATACAATTAGGAATGAGTAATTACATTATAATAAAAAATCAATTAGAAAATAAAAATATATGAAAATAAGATCAGACAATCTAATTTGATCATGTATTAGGAATATTAATTTAAATGAAATCTGATTTAAGAAAAATGCAATTATTTGAGAAAGCATCATATAAAGAAATTTGAAAACAATTAGGAGTGTAAGAAATACAAAGAAAATATTTAAGAAAGTGGAATTATATATCCAATAAACAAAATTTTTATTTTAGAATAAAATAATTACAATCTTACAATTTAAATTATTTCGAAAAAATCAAGTGTTGAGAAATGAGATAAATTGATAAGGTCAAGTAAGAGGATATTGAAGAACTATATAATAGTTTTAAGATTATCTAGGATGATGATTTCGAATAAATTAATTAACAATAAATGATTACATCTTTTTATTTGTATTCAAGTTTTGAGTAAAAACGAGTTTGATAAATTTCAATAAAAGAGTGAATTTAATTAATAAATATAGGAGTTGAAAGAATGATAAAAAGTAAAAAAAAAAAGAATCTGAGTTTTATGTTATAGATTTAAATTAATGTTTATGGACATATGAATTATTTAATGGATGATGTAATTTATAAATTCATTATTCTTATGTAATTTATAAATTCATTATTCTTATTGAAATCTGATTCTATGTTATAGTCATCAATTATGTGTTGATGTTAAAGTATAAGTGTTTTATATATAATAATGATATATTTAATATAATTTTGAAATTATTAATAAATTTTATATAATTGTATTTAGAATTATAAAAGCCATATGGATGAATTATTAAGTGCAGTATTGTAAAGAAAATCAAAGATAAGTGAAGTTTTAGAAACAATTATAAAACTTAAAGTTAAAAGTATGTATTTGAATAAAATAAAATAGATGCTATAAGTCAAGCTGAAAGATCAACAATTTATGCAATTATCCGAAAACTTAAAGAAGAGGAGAAAAATAGAACAGAAAAAGAGAATTGGATAGTTAGTATAATGAGAAATACGAAATAATACAACGAAGAACAAATGAAGTATGAATTTATATCTAAAATTAGTCATATATTTGTTAAAACAATTGATATCATGAAATTAATAAATGAATCTTTTATAGAATTAATCTATTAACCACCTATTAGTCTCACTCAATTTTTAGAATAATACTACAATTTACATTAAGGATTCTTTTAATAAATGAATTAAGAATATCAATTAAAAATATAATATAAGCAAGCCATTAAATAAGGGAATGTAAATGAATATTTATTATCTAATAATAGATAAATTTGATAACCGATTTAATCAAAGCATTGTTAGCATCTTCACGAAAAATATTAAAAGATAATATAGATGATTTAGCATATTAAGTAAATAAAGATTTATCTCCTGAAAAACAGAAGATTATGAAGAAATTAGTGCCTGATCCATTAGTTGAACATCTAAGAACAAGATCATCAACATAAAATGGAAAAAAAGATGGAACTGTTATCAGTATGACAAATAGTGTAATTTAAAATGAAGAGCCAATTAGATATAATGATAAAAAGGAATATTAATAAATTAAAGAAAAATTAAAATTACAATAAAGAAGATTTATTTTATAACCGAAAATTCCAAATTAAGAGATTATTTTATTAGAATAACCAATCTATTAATTAAAATTGAAATATTAATAATATAATAATAATATGGCTGAAAAAAACTAATTTGCTTCCTTGTTTAATAATGTTAATCTTGATGATTTGGATGATTAAAATATTTGTGTTCTAGATTATTAAACAATCAAAAGATAATAATAAAATTTTGATGAATTTAAACTTAATTTCGATAGTCTTTATGATAAGATTAAAATGAGAAATTCATATATATAATAATCAGTAATGGATTATAATTAATATATATCTAAAAAGTATACTTTTTATCATATTAATAAGATGTATTAATTAATCCATGATGTTGAGTAGTCAGTATAATAATAACTTAGAAAATGAATTTTTTAATGTAATTAAAGATAAGTATGAAGAACTAACAAGTTTGAATGCAGAATTTTAATAAAATATATATCCTTATCATTTTTGTAGGATTTATTTTAAACCACATATAAATCCAATTTGTGCATGCTATAATATTAATAATAGTAAGTATGAATTAAATTAAAATCCTATTAAGAATAAAATTGTGATCAGAAAATCTGTATAGAGTATTAAAAAGTCCACATAAATTTAACAAAATTAAAATACATTTACTTCAAAGAATCTAATTGATTAATTAAAGAAGGAAAGGACATTCAACTAATCAATTATTTTAGAAGATTCAAGTTATTAAGATATGTATAAATATAATAATAGCAGTGGAATAAGTCCTTTAAATAATTCGATACTTTAAATACGTAAATTAGATTAGTCATAAAATTTAAATGGAAGTACTCAATATAAATTATATACTCATAAATTATCAAGTGAATTTTAATCATTTAAATAAACTTCTTTGCACCATAGAGCTTAATCAGCTAATGGAGATTAATTAGGTATTCCTCCTCTCAACTTAAGGAATTGTGCTGAATGAAATCAGAAAATACAAAAAATGATACAATTTAAATATTATTTTCAACTCTCATGTGTATTCTAATGTCTTTATTTATAATAACTTAATGACTTTTCTGAGCTCACTTTTTACCCTTGACTAAACTTTCTAAAATTCATTTCAAATTTTTTGTTTGGTAAAATAATCATTTGAGGACGACGATACTTATAATTGCTTGTCTATGAAACACAATCATCAGATATAAATGATTCTTCATTACATATTTGTAAAAGTTATCCGAATAACTATTTACTGTTTTTGTTTTCGAGATATTCTTCTATGATATCAATCATTCTTTAATCTTATTGAATTACAAGATCTAAAATAAAATTTCATATTTTTTTTACCTTTCAAATGGCTTTTTTGCTTAGCCCCCAATTATTGATTTTTCGATAACATATATATTGCACATAATAATTTTCCTGGAATGGAATCTATTTGTTCCATTTGATATCTTATCTTTTTTTTATTTACTATTTTATTAATAAATATTTTTCTAAAATATCTTGAATGTTTTTAATTATTAAAATTCTCTATCTTAACTGTTTCTTAAATAATGAGAATATAATAATTTTAAACTTTATATTTTAATCATCCAATAATTATTCCAAGTGTTCTTTTAATTTATTTTATAAAATTATTATATTAATAAAATGTAAAGAAAATTATTCTCAAATAAACCATGATGCAATTAGGACTTTCCTTGACTGAATATATTATTTGTTATTTATAACTTAATTTCTTATATAATCAGAAGACTCTTATATCTAGTTAGTATTAAATTAATTATTTTAGAATAACCATTCATCTAATTTTTTGTAAGAAGAAAAAAACCTAATTTCATTTAAGAATCGCAATTTTTATTAAATTAAGATTACTTTTCAGCCACTATTAAGAATACTGTATAAGAAATCTTATTTGAAATCCAAGATTATTATAATATCTATCCTATAATATACTATTTAATATAAAAAATTATATACCTGTATTAAAAAGTTCAGATGTAGAATTTAATCCAGAATTTTTTTAAATAATTTAATAATATTTCACAAATAAATAAATTAAGCTATACCAAATAGCCATGGATATAATTATTTAAAATTAATCAAAAGCAAAATAGGATTAACAAAAGCAGTTATTATGAAAACAAATTTCGAGGATCCAATCAATTTATTTAAAGAATAATTTTTATATAAAAAGCTTTCTCGATATGCTTATATTTTAATCCATATTAATTATTGATGTGTAATACTTTGGATTGTTAGATATATCTATAGATTTCATAATATAATTGCAAAGAGATTAGGTATTATCTTTTTAACAATTCTTCAAAATCATTTCTACTTTTTCTATATTATTNACTTTTTACCCTTGACTAAACTTTCTAAAATTCATTTCAAATTTTTTGTTTGGTAAAATAATCATTTGAGGACGACGATACTTATAATTGCTTGTCTATGAAACACAATCATCAGATATAAATGATTCTTCATTACATATTTGTAAAAGTTATCCGAATAACTATTTACTGTTTTTGTTTTCGAGATATTCTTCTATGATATCAATCATTCTTTAATCTTATTGAATTACAAGATCTAAAATAAAATTTCATATTTTTTTTACCTTTCAAATGGCTTTTTTGCTTAGCCCCCAATTATTGATTTTTCGATAACATATATATTGCACATAATAATTTTCCTGGAATGGAATCTATTTGTTCCATTTGATATCTTATCTTTTTTTTATTTACTATTTTATTAATAAATATTTTTCTAAAATATCTTGAATGTTTTTAATTATTAAAATTCTCTATCTTAACTGTTTCTTAAATAATGAGAATATAATAATTTTAAACTTTATATTTTAATCATCCAATAATTATTCCAAGTGTTCTTTTAATTTATTTTATAAAATTATTATATTAATAAAATGTAAAGAAAATTATTCTCAAATAAACCATGATGCAATTAGGACTTTCCTTGACTGAATATATTATTTGTTATTTATAACTTAATTTCTTATATAATCAGAAGACTCTTATATCTAGTTAGTATTAAATTAATTATTTTAGAATAACCATTCATCTAATTTTTTGTAAGAAGAAAAAAACCTAATTTCATTTAAGAATCGCAATTTTTATTAAATTAAGATTACTTTTCAGCCACTATTAAGAATACTGTATAAGAAATCTTATTTGAAATCCAAGATTATTATAATATCTATCCTATAATATACTATTTAATATAAAAAATTATATACCTGTATTAAAAAGTTCAGATGTAGAATTTAATCCAGAATTTTTTTAAATAATTTAATAATATTTCACAAATAAATAAATTAAGCTATACCAAATAGCCATGGATATAATTATTTAAAATTAATCAAAAGCAAAATAGGATTAACAAAAGCAGTTATTATGAAAACAAATTTCGAGGATCCAATCAATTTATTTAAAGAATAATTTTTATATAAAAAGCTTTCTCGATATGCTTATATTTTAATCCATATTAATTATTGATGTGTAATACTTTGGATTGTTAGATATATCTATAGATTTCATAATATAATTGCAAAGAGATTAGGTATTATCTTTTTAACAATTCTTCAAAATCATTTCTACTTTTTCTATATTATTTTAAATAAAAATTATTTTGTTCGAGAATAATATGTGTGGGAATTTAAAAAATTTAAATAAGATTTTAAGAGATTTTAATGATCGGTTTTTTTACAGATCTTTTATATTTATAATAATTATTACAATTAAGTATTTCCTTGTTTGAAAGATTTAGACAAGTTAAAGAAGGTATTATTTATTTACTTTATTTTCATTTAATAGATATAAGAATTATTATTTTTCAAAAAATTATTGGGTTTATAATTTAAAATTTTTAGGTTTTAGTATTTTTTGAATGATACAATTTTCATTATAGTTGTTAATTTTCAAAAAAGAAAAGCATTATAGATATTAAATGTAATTTATAGTTAATGATATTCATAATGATTATTTTTAATATAATTAATTAATATATGTATATTATTTTTTAAAATATAATAATTCAGTTAAATGAAAAAGAACATAATAGAGGTTTAGTAATAAGATTTTGAATATTTATAATGAAAATATTTTCTAAGTGTTCAAATAGATAAGAAGATTGGTTTATTAGTGTTTTAAGTATTTTTTTATAAATAGATTGAGAAAGAGTAATAATGTATCTTTTAATTATAATCTTTTATGTTGAGTAGGATTTTTGTATATTTAGAGATGAAGGTAGATAAAAAAATGAAAAAATGAAATTGAAAAAGAAGTGTTGAAGTTTTGTAAAAAGTTTGAGTTTGAATTAGTTAAAAAAGAGAAATATTGGAAAGGAGGTTTAATGAGATAGAAAAGATATGAAATAAAGAAGAAATAATAGAAGATATGTAATTAATGATTAATAAATAAATTTGATTAAGATGAAATATAAAATTTTAGGATAAGAAAAGTTGTGAAAAATGATTGAGTTGATATATGAGAATGTAAATAAAAATAAGATAATAAATAAATTATTAAAAATAATTGTTTAAATCTGAAAGATGGATAATATATATAAGTTCAAGGCGAGCTCTTCAGTAGGACATCTGAAGAATTTGAATAATGATAAATAGTTTTATTCAGAAGAGGAAAGTAGTAAAAAAGAGGAAGAGGAGAAACAGTTAAAAAAAGTGAGCAAACCACCTAGTAAGATGTCTCAATTTAGTAAAAATGCTACAGGTTATTAAACTGATGATTCTGATAAAGAGACGCCTCGAAATAATAAAATAGGACCATCAAGTAAGAAAATAATGAAAAATGTGTTAGATTAGAAAGTGTCAAAATTTCGTAATCTTGTGAATGCAAAAAAGATTGAAGGTGACAATGACGATCCAAATTATGATGATGATGATGATAAGCCAACAACAATATAATAGTAAATACAATAATAACATGTATAATAATAAAATGAAGATCAATATGATATAGAACAGTAAGCAAAATAGATGTAGTAAAAATATGCAAAAGTAGGAGAGCATTAAAAGTAAACAAAGATGAAGTAAATAATATAAATGAAGTTTTGAATAGACACTCAAATACATAACAATAAGGAATGGATGTGAATTCCGATGTAGAGTAGATGAAAAACAAATAATAGCAAGAAGGGAAATTGAAGAATCATCCATTTAGACATTTGATATATGGACCAAGTATTGGTGAGAATTCGTTTAATAAATTTTTATAACTCACATAAAGAGGTTTAGTATATGCTAAGAAATGTTTAAAAGGACCTTCTGATAAATTTATAAAGTCAAAAATGGTATAATTGCCAGAATGTGTATAAGTTAAGGCAAAGACATTATTATTAGATTTAGATGAAACTTTGATTCATAGTTGTTCTTAAAGAGAAAATCCATAAGTAACAGTTACAGCATTTGGAGATTATGGTGAGGAAGCGAAAGTAATATTAATTGAGAAATTAGATCCATTTCAATGTTAGACCATTTTGTGCATGGTTTTTATAATAGATGAGTCAATTATATACAATCTATGTATTTACTGCATCTTCATCTGCATATGCAAATGCTATAGTAAATTATCTAGATCCAAAAAGATAATGGATTTTAGGAATATTATCTCGTGGTAATTGTATGGAAACTAAGAATGGATTTTTTATTAAGGATTTAAGAATTGTAGGAAATAAATAAATTAAAGATATGGTTATAGTAGATAATTTAGCTCATTCATTTGGATTTTAAATTGATAATGGTATTCCTATATTAGAATGGCATAATGATTAAAATGATTAAGAACTTAAATATTTAGCAACTTATTTGATGGAAGCTGCTGAATAAGAGGATATTAGAATATTTAATACATAGAGATTAAAATTAGATCAACTTATAGAATATAGTTTAGAATGATCTTATTATCAGTAATAAATAAATAAATTCAATATATATAAATAATAATTAATCATAAATGGGGTCTTGTTGTTCAACTAATAAAGTAGTCAAAGAAACATATGATTATCCAGATGGAGGAGTCTATGTAGGTGATTTAGAAAATCATATGCCTGTATCTATTTTTATATTTTGATCAGCATGGGAGAGGTACAATTAAATGGGATAATGGAGCATTATTTGAAGGTGAATTTATAGATGGACGTAAAAATGGAAAAGGATTATTTAGATGGAATGATGGATAATATTATGATGGTAATTTTAAAGATGAAAAATTTGATGGTTATGGTGAATATTATTGGACAGATGGTAAAATTTATAAAGGTGATTGGATTGATGGTGAAATGAATGGATAAGGACAAATGATTTATCCAGATGGGAGACTTTATATAGGTTCATAATATTACTTAATCTTAAGGCAGTTTCAAAGCAGATAAAAAGGATGGTTATGGAGAAATTACTTGGCCTAATGGAAATAAATATCTTGGACCTTGGAAAAAAGGTAAATAACATGGAAAAGGTCTTATGGTTGATCGAAATGGAAATTAAACTGAAAGTAACTGGAATAAAGGAAAAAAATTATGACATTTATTAATTCAACCATTGTTAATATTTATACTTTTCTTTCTTTATTACTATTATCTATATCTATATCTTTATATCATCTAATCTAATCTATTTTTCTAATTACTTAATATTAAAACATTATTTATATAATTTATTAACAAATTTAATTGTTAATAAAATAAAATAAAATAGAATTTTATCTAAATCAATAAACATAATATATCATTTAGAATTAATTTAGTAAATAATTACTTAAATATTTAATCTAATAATTGTTACACCATGTTTTGGAAATAAATAAATATTAATCTAATTCATATCAATAATAAATTATATTTATCATTAAAATATATTTATTTAATTCACTATTCATTTTTTGTAAGTTAAGAGAGAATTTCTAGATTTATGTTAATTTTCCATTAATACATAAATTCAGTAAATTATATATAAACTTTACAAAAATGATAATCATATATTAACAAAAATTTGATCTTATTTAATTTACTTAAATATTTAGCAAGTTAAATTAAGATCAAAAAAGTGTCTTTAAAGTATGTATAAAATCAATCTGGTTTAATCTCAATAATAGTAAATGTTCAAAGAGAATGAAAAAGAATTAAATTACCTAAAGAAATTTTATTTTTTTTAAGATTTATTATATAGATTTATGATATAATATTACTTATATACAGAATAAATTTATTGAAGGTTTTTAAAATTGTTCTTCTTATTATTATTGATTTTCAATAAATTGATATTGTTCTATACTTTGAAGGAATGGTAGATAATTTAAATGAACTTTTACAAATATTATATTTTAAATTTTGTAATTATCAAATGAATTAAATATGCCAAACTTTTGGTCATGATTAAAGGAAAATTCAATATATATGTTTACAGCCATAAGAAATATTATGGGCTTGTTCATAATGTTTCGAAGAAAATAAAGATCGATATGACTTCTAACCTATAAAAAATGTCTTAGAGATTTTGGAATAAACAATTAAAGAGGTCAGAAAAAATAATAGTCGAAAGTAAATAGATGAAATAAAAAATCTCTTTACAGAAGTTTAAAATTAAATAGTAGAGAAGTTTAATTAATCTATGCAATTTTTAAAAGAATCTTTTTAATTACAGTATGATGAATTACTTGGCTTTCTAAAGTTCTTTAACACATTTGAGATTGATTAATTAGATTCTGATCATTAAGAAAACTTAAAATACCTTCAAATTGTAGTACATTAAAAAGCATCATAGTAAACAATATTTGAAGTTTAAACAAACTTTAAGATTGAGAGACTAAACAATATAAAAAAAAA